CTCGTCGTGCGAGACGAAAATGGACGGGTACTCGATAAATTTTCCCGTTGTCAATTACCTTTGACTTTTTCAGATCGGGTCAAATTCGGGCATGAACCCGTATGGCATTTGACAGTCATTATTCTCACTCAAAATTTCCGGGCTTCTTAATTTTTATGTTTTAACAATTATCATGATTTAATATCGGAACAATAATATTCACATGCTTAAAAAAATGTGTTTTGAAAATTGAATTCTTAAGATTGTTCAAAATGATAAGATGTGTTCAAACTGTAAGTTCCAACGTTCAGTATTAACATTGTTATCATTTTAATATTTAATAACACTGGGCGGATGTTTTAATACACAACCTTAAAGGAAGCCTCCACTACATACTTAGCTCTTAAAGTCCTACTACAAATCAGACAAACGGAAGCGAACACAATATGTAAACAGAGCAAAAGAACCGTCGCACGTTGATGACGGCGCAGAGATACAACTATTCGCACTTGATGGATGTCCGTGTAGCACCTGCAAAATTGAAGGCGCGATGGCGCGAGGCGTAAAAACTCGCAATGCTCCACTCCATCCATGGTGTCGACGAAGAGTCGCTTTATTCGAGAGAAAAAATATTGTATGAAGAAATAAAAGAAATATGGAGCGCTCACGTTCACAGAAAATTTGAGCACAGTGCGGTTTCACGTTTTACTTTATTGGTGATTGTGATAAATAAATTTTTAGTTGTGGTGATTGTATTTGATGAGTAGCAGTTACAGGTAGTTTCATTGATTCGAGCACAAGTTCAAGAACATTTCAATCCTTGTTCTTCACGATTTAAAATTTTGATCAGGGTGGCTAAACCCTTTGAAAACGGTCAATACTGAATTTTAGATTTTTTTCGTATTTTTTTTTCGTATTTTTTTTTTTTTTTTTTTTTTTTTTAGAAAAAAATTTGAAAATGCACTCATCTCATCTCTTCATTTAACTTCCGTGACTTTGAAGCCATTTGAGGAAGCATTTATATTTTTTTGAGAAATTGGAGTCTCAAAATTTTTCAAGTCTCTCTAGAGCTTTTCTAGAGCGCTCTGAACCATTCTGAGATCGAGAGTTTGTAACGACGTGCCTTTAATGTTTTATGCTTTTACGGACATCCGTGCTTGATGCATCTTTTCAATAATTATTGTTTAACTGAATATCAGCGTGACTAAGTTACATTGGAAAGAAGCGCAGTCCTTCGATGTAAAATTACACTTCTGTGGCCATTGAATAACATCCAATATTCTCTTATTTATTCACGTTTTTTTCTAAAAACCTCTCTCATTGTAATTATAATAGTCTCCTACGAAATAATGAAAGAAATCGGATTCCTGTGATCATGCGGATCTATACTGAAGAATCTTAGCGCTGATAAGAAACATAGTATACAACTATGTAGATCTTAAACGTGAAAAAGCGGTATATTTGCGATGCTGACATTTTAGAGGAGAAACAAGAACGGTTTTTCTCAGAGATAGTTTTTTAAGTCGACAACAAGCAGACAGACAAAACTTGGCCCAACAAGTTAATTCCACACCCGAGGCACAGCAGCACGCGATATACGCGAGACTACTTGGTGAAAAATACACTCCAAACGCTTCTTAAAATGGTAATACATGGAGAATTTCTATTTCCTGCTCGCAGCGTATGCAACTTACTTTTTTCCCGATGCCAGGCGACGTTTCAATTCGCGGAAATCCCTCCACACAAGCTCATCGGATATTTGAACCTTTCCCAGTAATTCTTCAAATTAAATTATCCTATACACTCATTTCGCTCGTGTTTGTTTCAAATCTCCACCGTTTGGCCACAATCAAACCCTGTACAAATTTAGCCAACAGAGGGCTTCGCATAAACTTTTCATCGTTGCCAGCAGTACACTGCCGTGCTAAGGAAAAACGCCGTATGAACCTTCAGGCGTTGCCAAATTTCCATTTATAAAACACGAATTTCCTGGTACACTTATTAATATTTTTCTTCCAACTTTTCAGATAATGTTGTTTGCAATTTCACCTTAAGCTCCTGAAAATTACAAGGAAAAATAATCATAGCTTTGCTCCAAAATGAACATTTTATTGAAGGAAATTTCGGAACTCTTGAATGTTCATACGGCGTCCTTCCTTAGCACGACAGTACAGCGCCGCCTCTCGTCGTTGAAACAATGCGAAATCGACGATTTAAAATAAAACTGGCCGCTTATCATCCACCGTTTTATCGTTGAGTGGTGTAATCGTCTCATGTCGCATCTTATTCTGGGTCGCTCCGCGAATGAAATCTAGTTAAATTAAAATTGTACCGTCGTGATTCATTTACGTGCCGGACGCCGTTGCTACATCACAGGGATTTTACATCGCGGACTTTACAGGTTCAACAATAGAAGTGAAAGTGACTCCTGGGATGTGATCTGGCACATCCGAGTAATAATTATTATTCCTCTCAATTTTTTTACTCTGGTATTTTTATACCTCTTTTCATCCGCGCTAGCCTCTTTTTACGGTTGCTAGATCTTCTCATCGGCTCAAACTCGCTACTTCGAATGCTGCAATTCTGTCTCTTAGTCGCTTGGATTCTTGAAGCAATTAAATTATTTTCATAGCCAGGAGACACCGCGACTTACCATGTAATATCTAATCTGCATCTTTGGTGACTGAACGGGAAAAAAGTGAGGACCTTCTATAGGCAACCATCACGCTGAATACAGGGTGAAAAATCAAGCACCATAATTCATTTCTCAGTAAACAACTTTCACACCCATGAACTTAGAATTGCATTTTTGAACACTTCGAAACCTTAAAGATTAGAGAAGTCAGCAATAATTTTCGTATTCTATGTTCGACTGCTGCCTCCCCTATTAGAATCAGTGATACGAGTTTTTGCTTGAAGGTGAAACTGAACGATACCACTATGCGAACACAAAAGTACGCTTGTTGCATAACCAATTTACTGAAGGAAATTTTTGTCACGGCACTCTCGAACCATTAGACCACCATATAGTACTCGATTCTTCATAAAAATTTCATGTGGTTTCACCTCGGAAGTATAGAAATTTGTTTGTAACTATTTACATTTCCAGTAGTTTTGGATTAAGAATCCTAGTTGAATAAAGAGCAAGTCAAGTCAGATCAAACCGGGCAATGAACTGAGTATAATGTCTTACGATTGAATACTTTTTTCGGTAATCTGAAGTTTGCTAAAAAAAAATTGAGAATCACTTTGCGTCTGAGAAAGAGAAACATTTTTGTGGCATCCGACCAATATCATTTGCCAAGCAATAAATTAGTTTTTAATGAGTACCATTTTGTTTGATATGATAATATGGTTTCGGTTTTTCGGAAGCGAACAGTCTGAATTGAATAGATCCAATGTAGGCTGTAGACGCTAATGTCTCACATATGGGTCAATTTTGGACATGTTTCAGGTATCCAACACATTTTTCATAAAATGTCGATGATAAAATTATTTGACGTCGACTCTTTTTAATTGTTTTCCGCAAAGTTGGTGCGAAAAACATTTTTTTCCAAAAAAAAGGATAAATTTCGATCATAAAGATTTGAAATTTATCATCGATGACAAATTTATCGTAGAGATGAAACAATTGCAAATGGTGTAATCCCTACTTTAAGTAATACTACTCAGGTGTTAAATGAAATTGTCCTTTTTAATTTGTAGCTGTGATTATTTTCTCAATTTTTGTCTAACATTAATTTAAAAAAAAAAATTAAAAAAATGAGATTAAAAAAACCTATTGACCTCCAAAGATATATCTCTATTCGAGGTAGAATTGACTTTGAACTGAACCAATACACGGGTATTCCACCATGTCAATTCAATGCCACGACAAAAAGTTCCTGCAAATAATCGCTTATGTAAAAAGCGTACTTTCGAGCTCGAATAGTGGTATCATTCAGTCTCGCGTGTGAAAGAAAACACGGAGCACTGATTATAATAGGAAAGTCAATCGTTCGCATACAGGGAACACTAATCACTCATTTGAGAGTTTTTGTTTACTTTCTATGCATGTGTCCAAAGACCTATTCCCTCAGGCTGCATTCGTTAAAATAATACACTTGATGTGTCCATCGTACTTACTCTACAAGAAATTCGGTGCGATGTCATGCAATGAGATAATCTCCTACCCCGTTCTGCTGGCTTATTGTTGAAGTGATAGAGAAAGCCATAGACAAAAAGACATAGGGAGTACGGAGCGATCCTATTGGTTGAAATGGATGGTTCCTGTAGACTAAGTGAGCAAATTATGGACTAACTGTAGGGTCCCTCGTGGGTTGCCGTTAGTTAGTCTGTTACCTACCTACATCCTTTGTCCATTGCAACCACCCGCTTCCACAATAGGATCCCTCCATATCCTTATTGTTTGCTTTGTCTATAGCTTTGTCTCATTTGGACGTATTTCTGTCAAACGGAAATAAGCGCCAATTTGAGTTCCTTATGAGGAATTAAAAATGCCGGATAGCGCGTTCTGTCAAACGGAACTAAGCGCCATGGAAAAGCATTGGGAGCATAGGACAGAATGATCCCGACGCCCGGTTCCGCCGCCAATCCAAGCCCCCCTCTACCTTCCTCACCCTATGGCGCTTAGGTCCGTTTGACAGAAATACGTCCATTTCATACTCTATGCATAAAATCATGAGAGTAACGCGTAATGCATAACGCCTAAGGCGCGAAGCTATCAGAAAGGTAGCCCTCTAGTTACAAAAAAAAAAAAATCTTCAGCCCCTTTTCTCCCCGCAAAAAAGACGCACCGCTTTTCGCGCCAAACAATTCAATTTAGACTCGTAAAAAAAAAAAAAAGATCGCGGGAAAACTCCCGCGGACTCGTCACCGCGGAGCCTTTGACCACCCGTGGGGCGGGGGGCGGGGGCGCAAAAGGGCGACGACGGGTGCGTGCGCGGGCGCTCGTGGGCGGGCGCGCGGCGGCGTCGGCGGTCGGGGGCGCCGCGGCGGAGTCAGTACAGGAGAGAGCCCCCGCTCCGTCGGACGGAAGTGCCAGTAGTCGCGCCATCGCTTCGCCGTGTTTTCGTCTCGCACCTCGCGAACCGCGCCGCGCTACCAATTACCTCAGCACCTCTCGCACGCCGCCCGTTTTCATCCGCTAATCGGCCTCCTCGACTGGAAACACTTTCAGGTGTGAATTAATTCTCCCCCTCCCCCTCCCCCCGCTCCTCCGTGCACCGATCCCCTCCCCCCTCCTTCCGTCCCCGCCCCCTCCCTTGGACCACCTTGTGCAAGTCACGCCGTGGGGCAAGGGATGGGTCAATTTATTTTTTGTCCGCCCTCTCCCGCTTGCATTTTTTTTCTTTCATGTAAGGACACGAGGATGTATGTCTTTGTCAAGGCCGCAATTTCGTATGCAGTTTATTGCTTCCGGTTTTAAGGCGGGATCCTTTGATGTGCAAATTGGCTCGATGTAATATCCTCCAGTGGAAAAAGTAGATTCTACCTATGGCAGCAGTAAACTTTTGGCTGTCTTTCGGTTTCTTTTTCGATTGAGGATGTCTGTTTTCGAGAGGAATGATGACGACATGTTCAGTTGATCACAAGTGATTTGAAGGAGGGTTTGAAGGTGATCTGGAGTTGTGAGGCTTAATTGCCACGCAGTGTTGCAAATTTTCACCTCAATTATTGCCTCTTCATCCAGTAACGAATGTATCTCTCAAATGGAAGTTATTAGGAAATATCCGTCGTATCACAACTAAAATTTACCAAAAACTTTCGAAGAACATTTTAACCGTTTCTGAGTAAATAGGTTATAATTATTGAGTGCAACTTTGCAACAATGAGATTCAATTAAACTCCTCTGGCTATGATTCTTCCTAGGTTGACACCATGTGCGTTTATACATATTGCCGTCATTTTAGTAACCGATATCCGTTCGCATGTCATAATTCAAATCGTTGCGGTTTTTGGCTTTTGATCCTAATGCTGAAAACTAAAAAAATAAGTGACTGAGTTCCAAACCCTCTACTTGACCCTACTCAAACTTGTTCATTCATGTGAACTATAAGAGAAAAAAGGGAGGCAGTGGAAGATCCTCATATTTACATCCATCATGGTTTAGGATTACATAACATTCGAATGACAAAACGATCGAGCACTATTTGGATTGCATTTTGCAATAGCAATGAAGAACCACTAATTTTGTTTCATTTTAGAAACAATATACGTGCCATTAGTTTCCTCATGTAAATAAGTGTTTTTATGGATGAGCAAGAAATAGTAGTTCCTTATTGCAAACTGATACTCAAACTTGTCGTGAGGTTAAATATCCCCATTAACGTTTTGACAGGAGTAGCATATTGCGTACTAAGGTTTTAGATGAAAAGAACTCATGAATTCCCTTTAAAATCTACATGACGCTCTTTTACTTAAAACCCTTAGTATGTTCATTTTGTTATTTTTGAACTGTAGATCAAATCTCAGCTTTAGGGACGGACATATAGAGGAAACTTGACAATAAAAAGCTTATTTCACATGTTCAACAGATTTACCAGTGCTTTTACAGCTAAATGAGAAGATACCAGTTTGAAATTTATAAGTGTACTTATTTCGAATTTAAAAGCATACTTTATTCGAGGGGACGTAACAGAGAATAAAGTAAAGATCCATAAATTGTGTTTAATTTTCTGAGAAAAAATTGGTTTGCAAGTCGAAGACATGCGTATGCTAAGAATGTAAAATGGATGCATGCTTTGGAAAGACTTGCACGACAGAAAAAGTTTTGGGAATTTCCGCTACTCTTCAAAATTAAAGATCCGGAACGAGAGTTATAAAGCACGGGAAAAACTGCTGCGAGTCGCTCAATGCACGTAGGTACCTCTACTTTGTATGAAATTGTACACTGCTCTATACCTCTTTAGTCGAGTAAAATGCTGTTTAGTGATGTATGCTCTTCACATACCGCACTTAAAAGAATAACGATGCAACGAATGGCTTTAAAATATACCCGTCGGTCATTTTGATTTCCATTAAAAGATCGACTAAATAACTCGGAGCGTAGATTCTTTTTGCACCCCACACTAATCAAAACCAGGAGTGCCCAGTATCGTATCTAATTAATAGTGATCACATATCGTTGACGCTTTTCATCGCCGAAACGCGTCGATGCGGATTCTGTTGAATTTGCGATTAATGCGGACGATCTGGTGTTTAATAACCACTCCATGGACGGAACCTCGGTTATAAATGAGCTTTGTGGGTATTGGGGAAAGCAGTGCGGGATCCTATTTCCTATCAATATTACTCTTTTAGCTCAGCGAGCCCGCCGCGTCGGAATAAAATATTGATGCTTCAAAACCGGTGACGATAACTGTCACTTGACTGTGATGACAGTGCTCTCATTTGATTTCGCTGGAACCCTACTTGGAAAAACTCTTCCGTTTTGAAATTTGTTTGATAAATCTCCTCTTGATCGATTATTGGTGACGAGGCAGGCCAAATTGCCGTAAGAGTGGGAAAAAATCAACAGACAACATCGTATCTCGGGGGAAGGGGGGGGGGAATGAAGCGCTGGGTGCAGAAAGGACATTTTGACGGTGCAAGTCCGCAACCACGATCTCGGTTTACGACGTCGCAGACTTCCTGTCATACTTTTTTTTTTTAAACGAAAAACTACTCTGCGGCAATTCTTTAAAACTGCCGTGATTTTTCTTCTCTATGCGTAGAAAATTCTGCAAGAACTTCGAGGAATGATGTCAAGTTGTTCTCCTTTAGAAAAAATAATAAAGAGGCGGAGATATTGAAACACCCCAAACGAGATACGTGGTTGGGTACTTACGCCGTCGATTTCTTTTTTGCTGTGTCTCAGGATCTCCGTTAACGTTCCATCTACTATAATTAAAGCAAATGCATGAATAAATAAATTAGTAGCGAAGAATGTGCAACACCGCAACCAAGGAATGCCCTTCCTATCCCGTACGCCTCAATTATGGATCATTAGGTGCGAATAACGCTTACGGATTTTTCGGTAATAAACATGTATTGGAAAGTTAATTACTGACCTCTTGAGATTAATTCAAAGTTTCAAGGCAAAAACGAAAAATTCGAAAAAAAAATCTGTTGAAGTTTGGCAGCGTGTTGCTAGTCATAGAAACGATTCACCTCAATCGGCTATAACATAATTCATGATGCAAATATGATTTGAAGTTTTGATACGATGTTTTTAAGAGTATTAGAAAGTGTTTAGAGTCCATAAATAAAATCAATATTTTTGACTCCACCCCTGTTTCTTCTTTGTACTAAAAAAAAGGAGTTACCACCTCAGAAGCCCGTTTGTCTGACAGTATCACATGTTAAATTACAACCCTCGCTATAATCAATTTTTTCATTACTTCAGGAAGAAGCGGCGTAATCAAAATGACATAATTTTTCTACTTGTCAGCCTCCTTATCTCTCTGATGCGAGAGAAAATCCACTTGAGGCTAAAAATCAGCCTTTTTTATGGGATATATACACCAAAAGTCTGTTGCAAGAGCTCCAGAGATTGTTTCATATTTAGAGTCCATAAGATCTCAATATCTAGTTACTGGACATGTATCGCCGACAATTTGTCCGCTTGACTTGTAATTGCGACACTCAAACCAGGAGTGTCCTTTGATGCATGTATTCAACCCTCACTCTAACGCATAATATCGGAAGAAGTAAAATTTATTCATAAGAATGTTTATAGTATTCTTAATTGTTCGGATGCATCAGGTTTCAGCCAAATCTACCAAATATATCATCAAAGTAAAATATTGATCCTCCGTAAATCATCCCGGATAATATCCTGCACTATTTGGCAACGTCGTAGCGATTCCGCGACACTTATCTGAATTCCAATGTGATCGCAGCAACATCTGCATCACTCAATAAGCACAAATGTTTGAAATCAGGCGACACCATTGAGCGAACCAGAGCGCCTTCAAATCTGTGTATATGCAAAACCGATATCCTTCAAGTGCGAATAGTTGCATGGACGCCTTCAATTTTTGCTGCCAGAGCTATTGGAATATGTAACGTTATTGCATTCTTCGTAATTATACGTGAGTGAAGTCGAAAGTTTTTTAACGAGTGAGGGTATATAAAATTCTGTGTTTGTTGACCCATCTGAAATCAGAATTTCTACGGTAAGAACACAAGCTCCTTTCCTGATGGGGAGAGACATGCGTGTGGTTTCAACGTCTAATTTTCCATCTAATTCTATTCAGATCTGCTTTCATCGGCAATTTACCATTTCCCTTTTATTTAAATATTCCTATCTCATTAATTTAACATCATTCATCATATCGTTTAAAATACTGCTTAATCCCACCTTCCATACGTGACACCGTTGCCAAACAGCACAACTTATCGAATTGTTATGGACAGAAATGTACCAAATCGTGTTTCGCGAACATTATGCAGGAATGTTATCCAAGGGAATTATGTGCGGAAAAATTATGCCCTAAATCGCTTATAGATAATGCTCAATCTATTTTATGAATACATTTCGCATTAAACTGCACAGATGCTGTGAGCTCTCCGCGCTGAGCCGCACAGCTTGTCCTCTTACCTGAATGCACCTGCTACGTAATTCATTAAATTTTTATATTATGTGAATGCAGGGCTTATGGTCGTCCCTCATTGCAAAGTTTTTCGATAGGCTTTTTGATATTCATTTGGTGCAGGCTGCTGTTCTCAACATTATCCTAAGGTCAAATTGTGCACTAGATTATCCGTAGAATAGTCAATGAAAGGAAATCAATGATAACTTTGCACGTTTAATTTTCACCAACAAGTTCAATACCAATTACGAACATCATTTTGATATTTTCATCAAAGTCATACACTATACTGCCGTGCCAAGGAAGAACACCGTATGAACCTCCAGGCGTTGCCAAATTTCCTTTGATAAAACACGACTTTCTCGGTAAAATTATGAATATTTTTCCTCCAATTTTTCGGATAATTTTGTTCTCAATTTCAACCATAGTTCCTAAACATTTCAGGGAAAAATATTCATACATTTTTTAAGAGTCCAGACTCTAAATCCACGAGACTTTTTTTCCAGTGCTAACTTGAAAAAACTCGAAAAAGGCCTCACCTTGACATTTAGCGGATCCAGCAAATAGGCAGCATTGTTTTTCCCCCATTCAAACCTATGGAAAA